AAGAAAGGACTTGTATCTTAGAAGAATTAACAAACAAACATACAGAGACGTAACAATATGTTTAATACTGTTAAGTGTATAATATGTTTAAAGGTATATAGACACTGTATAAGATTGGAATTTAAACCTACAAGTAAAATGAATGACACTTGATGCATGGCTAAGATAAAAAGGACTTGCGTAGTTTTGTTTGTTTGTAATTAAGCACAAAGCTACACAAATGGGCTATCTGTGCTCTGCCCTCCACGAGTATTGAAACCCGGTTTCTAGCATTGTAAGTCTGCAGACATACTTCTGTGCCACTGGGGGCAACTTGTGTAGTAAAAACTATTTATTTCGATAAAGAAAAAGCAGTCTACATTTTTAATTTTGCTGTTAAAATTTACCGTATATATTTCCTGTATTACGTTATTACTTGTGATTTATTACGTACTGTATTTGTATCAAGCTTTGTTTTCTTTAATTTACTTTATTCAAGATCGCTGCCTGTATCTCTTCAATGTATTCTTTCATTGATGGGTTCTTTTGTAAATATTTGTTTAAAATAATTTAATGTTTAATCCACGTAATAATCACAGACTAGTTTATTTCATCCACTAATATCACAAAACACACTGACTAGTTCAACTCATTAATATCACAAAACACACTGACTAGTTCAACTCATTAATATCACAAAACAGCAGGACTGATAGATGGAATACCCCCCAACGTGTTTGGGTGCTATGGCTACAGGAATTATCCATTTTGACTTAAGGGTGAGAATTAGGAATGGTAATATAGGAATAAGTTTGAATTTTAGTTTAATCATATCGTTTTTGTTTTGTGTGTGTGTGTGTGTATATATATATATGAATAAGTAATGAAGATATGTAATAATTTATTACGTATTAATGTGAGTACATTAGTTTAAAAATCATCAGTAATATCTCATTTTTGTTTTGAAAACATGATATTTGCTTTCAGTTGGATATGCCAAAAACCGAGCTGTGGACCAAAGTACAGGGAAATTTTTATGCTTCCTTGATGCAGTAAGTCCATAAATTGATGTGATCTCTTTCTTTTCTCCTAAAACAAAATGTTTATTGTAAAAAATGAAGAAAGAACATTTGTTACAAAGCTCTGAAGTTTATTACAATCTAAATTTTAGCAAGTGCATTTACAGGAAATTAAAAATGTTTTGAATAATTTACCTAGATCAATTGAAGTGGTCTATATACTTGGAAAATTAAATGTTTCATAGTTTCAAAAGTGTTAATTTTAAAACTTAATCGTCATCAAACCTATGCCGTCTGATGCATAGATATCATCAAATTTTGAAATTTAAATTATTGATATAAATTATTGTTTCTGAAATCTTCCCAAACATTTTTTGTATAAATTTCTACTTTGTTTTTGGTAAGAATTTTTTACTTCTTCTGTTGATTTTGAGTTACTTATTATTCATTGGGTAATTAACAAATTTTTTAATGTTCTTTTTTTTATGAAATAATAATTTGTAAATATGTATATTTCTAGTACTGTTGTGTATAAAAATATTTTTTTTTACAGTAACAATGACATTTCAAATCACTTCATCTTTTAAGCATGAAATTTTCTCTGTCTTTTTCAGGATGATATTATGCATCGTAATCGTGTACAGAAACAGTACGATGTGGCTGTTCAGAAACCTAACTGTGTAGGTGTTTTTTTTAACTGTATAATTCAGATGCTTTGTTTTTAAATATAATTGTTGATGTATTGGTAAGCAATTGATTTTTACTGTTTAATTATTTTGTACGATACATGTATTAGAATATATATATACTGGTATTGTGAAATTTACTCCCTAATAGCAAGACGAGTATTGCTGCTAATAACAGATATTATAGATAATGGAATTCATAATGTCTTTGAAGTTTTATCTGAAAGTCTAACCCGATAATCCTAAAACATTATCTAAGTACTGGTAATATTTTACATACAGTTATGTCTGTAGTTCAGAAATGTGTAGCACGTACGTTCAAGATTTGTTTATACATTGTAGATTGTGGGCTGTAAGTTTAATCGAGTTCCTGAAGGTTCGACTGAAAGGTACACGCAGTGGGCCAATAATCTTAAACCATTCCAGTTATACACTCAGGTTTGTTAATAGCATAAAACTTTCAAGCCATTCCAGTTATTTACTTGTGTCACAGTGGTTCAATAACCTTTTAAGTACATTGTTTTATTTATATATTTATACTGAGGTCAGTCAGAATTGCTTAATAACACTATATATTCAAGTGTCTCAACATATTTCTGTGTGTGTTATTCTGGTTCAGTAATTTAAAATCACTTTAGGTATGCACTTGGGTTATGTGTCCAATGGACCACCAGTGTAAAAAAAACATATATATTTGAGTATGTTGTAGTGGGCCAATAACCTACAACACTTCTAATTCTACGATATGGGTTACAGTGGACAGAAATCTCTAACTATTGTATTTATTTATACTCAGGTTTGTGTCACAGTGATCGTGTAATGTAAAACCGTTTTAGTTATGTGTGCATCACAGTTGGTCAGTATTCTTAAGCCATTCCAATTATACAATGTCACGGTGGGCCAGAAATTTAAAGCCAATCCAGTACATACATCTGCATGTGTCACAGTGGGCCGATTAATTTAAAATCCATTGCAGGTTTGAGTGATTTACTCTGCTTCAGATGAGTTCCGATGTTTTAGTATTAAATGATAATTGAAACTGTTGGTACTTGGTGAAACTCCGTAATTACAAAATTGAGGAAAAACAAGACAACTATACATTTCAAAAATACCTTCTTTATTTGCAACCATAGTTTCACCAGTAAAGCATGGTGCCTTTATTGGCAAAACCATGATTTCACCAGTAAAGCATGGTGCCTTTATTGGAAAAACCATGGTTTCACCAGTAAAGCATGGTGCCTTTATTGACAAAACTATGGTTTCACCAGTAAAGCATGGTGCCTTTATTGGCAAAACCATGGTTTCACCACTAAAGCATGGTGCCTTTATTGGCAAAACCATGGTCGTGAATAAATGATGTATTTGTGAAACGTACAGTTGTCTTGTTTTTCCTCAATTCTGTTTTAGTATTAAACATTCTCTAGGGGAAATGAGATCATTTCAAGTACTGAATACAGACTTACTAAGCTGAGTATATTAACGTACGCTGGTTACCTGGTAAGTTAAACCTGAGTTTTTCTTTTCATTGCTGTTTAGAATCTCCTACTTAAAAATAGTTTCAGTATGCCTTGTGTTCTAAATTAACGCACTAAACTGTAAAAATACTGTATACCAGGATAGCTTGTGGAAAAGCTGTAACTGATATATAATAACTAGTACGTTGAAATGTACATGTGTTGCAGTCAATTTATTAACACTTTTTAAATGTTAGAATCACTGTAACTGCATTACGATGGTGATACTTCTTACGGTGTTCATTGTCAAGTTCAGGTATTCTTGGTCGTTAGGGAATTCCAATCGTGAATTTTGGGTATTTTTCCCTAATGACCAACAATACTTGAAATTCATGACTGGAATTCCCTAAAGAACAACAATACCTAAATTCATGATTGGAATTCCCTAATGAACAACAATACCTGAAATTCATGACTGGAATTCCCTAAAGAACAACAATACCTGAAATTCATGATGGAATTCCCTAATGACCAACAATACCTAATATTCATGATTGGAATTCCCTAATGAACAACAATACCTGAAATTCATGACTAAAGAGTTCCCTAATGACCAACAATACTTGAAATTCATGACTGGAATTCCCTAAAGAACAACAATACCTAAATTCATGATTGGAATTCCCTAATGAACAACAATACCTGAAATTCATGACTGGAATTCCCTAAAGAACAACAATACCTGAAATTCATGATGGAATTCCCTAATGACCAACAATACCTAATATTCATGATTGGAATTCCCTAATGAACAACAATACCTGAAATTCATGACTAAAGAGTTCTGATCATGAATTTCAGGTATAGACAAAAAAGGGTGGCTACAAGTAACAAATCCAGGTTGGTTCACCAAGGATATAAAAGATAAACTTTTTAAACAGGTATTATAAATATAAGTAGTTTAAATTCACTGGAATTATGGCAGATTTGGGGAAGTATAGATGGTCAAGAGATTTGGTCACATGGGAAATCCAAACAACTATATGAAAAAAGGTTGGCTGAAATGTAAAAATAAATAGTGGGGGTTTCTTCAAATACATTATGGGTAAGAAAAATGTTAGGATGAATGTAGAGTCTTTGAGGGATGATACTGGAAGACTGTATATGATGACTAAAGGATAGTCTACTTCTTCTGTTGTTTTTACTAATGAAGATTTAAACAGTATTCATCAACCTAAGTCCCCCAGTGGGTGAGAGAGAAGTTTACGGACGTACAGTGCTAAAATTTGGGTTCGATTTCCTGTGGTGCAGGTAGCAGATGGACTAATGTGACTTTTCTCTAGAACAAACAACATAAACATAAACAATTACTTGAGAGAAACAACATTGAACAAGACCATCACATCAATTTTGAGCTTGTTGAAGTTCAAATAATGATAAAGCTTCTGATCCAGATAATATTTCTACAAGGGTTATGAAGGAGGTTAGGGATTGGTTAAGGATTATAATATTCCAGACATCATCTTCAGTGGTATTATAAGATATTAAGTTAAATGGTTCAACTACTTTCAGCCATTATGTAAGTCTGATCGTGAATTTGTAGATAATTTTCAATGGGTAAATCTCAGCTGTTGGCTTGAAAGAATGATAACTACCAGGTGTAAGCATTCATCTAACTAATGTACCGCTTATAACTGTATATTTATAAAAATGTAAGTTTTGTTTTACATCTACTTCATTTATCATGTTGTTCGTTTATGATCAGATATTTAGTTGCATGTGTGCTTATTTACCTTCATTTAGTAATTGTGTGATCTTTGATTTGTTTGAATTCATAAAGCATTTAAGTTAACGTGAAATTGTTTGTATGAGTCAAAAGTGCACAATTAAAATTTGTGAAGTACAGTTACTGGTATGATTAAATGTACTGTGTAAAGAACCCTGACAAGTTATACTCATTTACAAAACTGTGTTTATTAATTAGATCTTTACTTCCCATGGACCTACTGTCATCATGCCCACCTGGTTTTGCTCTCGTGCCATTTTTAATGATGTTGGGGGGTTCTCCGAAGATGGAAAGGTATCTATATACGTGACGTTTGATAATTATGTAAAATATGAATCTTTAAATATGCTCACGTGATTGGTCAAAAAATTGCTTTTGTAAACCTTAAAAACTTCAACGGTGCATTTTTTTCATTATTAAAACTGCTTTGTCTGGTTTCTTTATGTGAGAAAAAGAATTATATATATATTTCTAAATATAAGTTACCTTACGGATGACTTGTTTTGATGTTTTTGTCAGTTCTGTTACTTAAGAAAAGTTATTGGACATGAAATATTAGTGCCCACTGTTTACCTAAACATTCCGGGCTTCTAGACGTAGGTTGCTAAATATCCCCCAGTGGCACAGTAGTAAATATAAGAGCTTAAAGCACTAAAAATCAAGTTTTGATACCTGCAGTGGGCAGAGCACTCTTTGTGCTAAACAATACACAATCTGTTGATAAATACAAGTTTTCAGTCTTTGGTTTCATTTGTATATTTAGAAAGTTTCCAGTGTTCCCCTCAATCTTTAGTTATATTTAAAATGTTCAGATTGAATGCAAATTCCAAGTTTTTTTTTTTTCAATTTTTAGTTTTGATAGAAAGTTATCAAATAAGTGCCTAGTTTCCTCGATTTTTAACTATGACAGAATGTTAAAACAAAGCTAAAATATCCAGTCATATGAACTATATACAAATACATACACACATATATATATTAACTGCTAAAGTGATTACTCAACACATTTCTATAGAAGTAAGTTGTGATTTATCGCATACTGAAAATGGGTTCCCACACTGTCAATTCTGTAGGAC